ATATATATATATATATATATATATATATATATATATATATATATATACACACACACACATATATAGCCATTTTAAGAAGTTAAATAAAATCTAGGCATCATTTCTATATCAAAGTATAAGAAGCATTGCATATAACTTTAAGGACAACTAGTACTACAAATAGAGTATATGAAACCAGTGGGTGGAGTAGTGTCCGTTACAATAAAATTTTGTCGCCTTTTGATCAGAGGCAAGTTTGGATATATGCGAGGGTTAGTTGAAGATCAGACAAAATAAGGTAGGTGAAGAAAACTATAGATGAAGCGTTTTATTTTACTTCAATAGTTTGTATTCACATGAGTCATCTTTTGTCGAAATAATATGTGCTTTTGGTGTTTACATGAATATTATCCAAAATTCATAGTGTTGTCTTACAGTAGTACTGCTCTCATATCCAGCTAATAATTAGTGAAACATACATATCCGTGTGCCATTAGCTTTGTGATTTCTTCAAACTCGAAAAGTTAGTTAATAGCAAACGTGACCAGTTGTGATGAAATTAGACAAACATTTTGATGATATATACTATAATTCTTTTTCATTTCACTCTGATGTTTCATTGTTGTGTGAAATTAAGGTACAGAGAGAGGCTTGAGACAGGCTATTCTTCTCCACCCAACAAATCCTTCCAATTTAGAAGATTTCATATGCCCCTTTCCGGAGGCAGACCGATTCATGCCAATAGAAAACGTGGTCAGAATCATGCGCAATATCCTTCCTCCCCATGCCATGATATCCGATGAATCCAAAGTAGCCGTCCAAGAGTGTATCTCTGAGTTCATAGGTTTTGTAACAGACCAAGCCAACGATGATTGCCAGCATGAGCAGCGCAATACCATCATGGCTGAAGACTTGCTTTCTGCCTTGAAAAAAATTGGTTTTGATGACTACATTGAACCCTTGACTTTGTACCTGCATCGCTATCGTGAGGTTGATGGTGGTGCGGATAGATCCCTGAAACGAGAGTCTTTGTTGTTGAAGCGTCCAATGGTTTGTCCAGCTTCAGGCTACAGCATCACGCCCAACCATCTGCCTCCTAATCTTGATATGAATCATCCACCACCAATGGGTGATGATTTTATGAAGGAGGATGCATCAAACACAAGCACTTCTCGGTGTACAGTATCTACTGTGGATAATGAAGTTAATTCTCTTGCAAAGGGGGGTAAGGAGTGATCAGATTCTGCTGAAGGAATTATGCTATTGTTGAAACTTAATTTACAATGTTTACGAATGTTTCTTTCGAACTAAGTGAGCCAAATGGTGTCTCCAATTGCTGTTTGTTTATTTTGCTACCTCTCCACTTTTAGTATTCGGCTAGTAATTGCTTGTGACTTGTACTTATTTATTACTTCCTCCATTTAAAAAAGAATGTCCCTATTTCTTTTTTAGTCTGTTTCAGAAAGAATGACCTCTTTCCTTTATTGACAACACTTTAACTTTAACTTTCCACATGACATGTTCAAGACAACAAGATTAAAGGGAATTTTGATACATTTGTCACAACTTTAATTTAAAACCACAAGATTAAAGTTTTCTTTCTTTTCTTAAAATTTGTTTCAAGTCAAACTAGGTCATCCTTTTTGAAATGGAGGGATTATAAGATAAATAAATAAATAATAACTCTATTGGCCACTACACCAACTAACTCTAGCTAATATAGACTGTTAAAACGGAAATACTCCATTAAACTGAATTGAAGTATAGAACAGAGTGGACTTCTGAAATTCAAGCCATTCATTAGCGTGCAGAAAATCTGAATTTATACAAGGAAAAAACTAACTATTTCCTATTGAGTAGAGGATGGAACTATATAAAAAAAACATGTGAAACAGACAGAAATGAGTCATTAAGTTCAAATAGTTAAGCAACTAAAGTTGACTAAGTCTAGCTAGAAAGTAGGGAAGTACTAAACTAAAACTAAGTAAAAAAATGTAAAAAACCAAATAATAAGCTGGAAGTTAAGAAATGATAATTGTTTGACACTCCTCCTTGTCATTTTCTTGACGAACACCAATTCTTTGCCTCAGAGCTTTAAACCTTTCCTTTGGTAGAGAATTAGTGAACATGTCAGCTAGTTGGTTCTCAGATGAGAAATGAACAAGAAACACTTCATCAGATTGTTTGGACTTCTCTAACAAAATAAAATTTTATTTCAATGTGCTTAGTTCGACCATGAAATACTAGATTTTTTTAGATTGAAATTGTTGAACTGTTGTAACACATGATCCTGGAAGCTTCACTTTTTTCATGGCCCAAGTATTTCAACATCAGCTTTAGCCAAATAGCTTGGTTCATAGAAGATGCAGGAGCTATGTACTCAACTTCTACTATTGATTGAACTGTAGACTCTTGTTTCCTAGAGAGCTAATTGAAACAACTTCTCCCAAATAGAACCGATATCCATAAGTGCTTTTGGAATCATCAGTCACTACATTAATCACTATCACAGTAATCGACCAGATCTATATTCACTTCGGCAGATGTTGGGAAAAAATTCCAAACTTGTTGGTTTCTATTATATACCTTAACACTCTTTTAGCCACTATGAATTGTGTGTTTCTCTAGGAGAATGTTGGATATAAAAGGTTGTCAAATATGCTTCTATACATACTATTATCCACTTTTTGAAATCTTCATCCTTGACAAGCTTCACACCAGTAGAGATTGGAGTACTCACTCGCTTGCAGTCTTGCATTTTTAACCTAAAATGTATTTATGCTGGCATACAAAAATTGCATCATTGAAGTACAACACTTCCATGCCAAGAAAGTACTTCATGACTCCGAGATCAGTCATTTCAAAGACTTCCTCCATTTTATCCTTGACCTTTGGGTTAGTTTTTCCTTCCTATCACAAGCATGTCTTTCACATAAATTAAGACAATTGAGGACCCACCACTAGTTATTTTCACTTACAAAGTGCTTCATTTTGACTTCTACTAAAATCAAGTTGAATGAGATGATTCTCCATCCTATTATCCCATATCCTGGGGGCTTGTTTTAGGCCATACAAAGAACTCATTAAGAAATAAATTTGATTTTCTTTTCTAGGAATTGAGAAACCATCAGGTTGCTCCATATAGATCTCTTCAACAATAAAATCATTCAAAAAATATGCTCAGACATCAAGCTGATGAATCTGCCAAGAATTGTGAGATACAAATGCAAGAATAAACCTGATTGTGTTATATGTTGCTAGTGGAGAACATATTTCTTGGTAATCCACAACATATTGTTGTGTGTATCCCTTCACCACCAAACTAGCCTTAGGTTAGAAAATTGTTCCATCAGGATTGAGTTTTGTCTTGAAAATCCATTTTACACCAATCACCTTGCAATTTTTAGGCCTATAAACGAGATGTTAGGTTATATTTTTCTCGATACTTCCAGCTCATTTTTTTCCATAGATCTCCTCTATGCCTTTGAGTCTTGTGCTTCAACATAGTTTGTTGGTTCAGATTTATCAAATTACACCACCGATAGACATATTTTAATGTCTGGGTGCCCCATATTGGTACATCATCCACTAGTTCATCTTTCGCAAGATGATGATGCTCTTTATAAATAAATTAGAAAAAAAGTCATCGTTTTTTTCAATCACAATCAGTTGCTTCATCAAACTTCATTTCTCGGTTGATAATTAGTATTTTTGTTTTCAAATTTGAATGAGTTATAGCCCATAGATATGACATTATAACCCTTTTTGTCCAAATTATTCTTTTTGTTTGTAGAACTCAATAATAACATACGCACACACATATTTTGACATGATGTATTGGTAGTTTGTTCTCACAACAAGCTTTATACAGAGTCATGTTCTGCAATGGCTTAGTAGGCAATTTGTTAAAAAAATATACTGAGGTATTGACTGTCGTAGCCCAAAACTGATTTGGGATATTTCTTTCAAGCAAAAGACACCTGACCATCTCTATTATAATCATGTTTTTCCTTTAATTAAGACATACCGTTTATTTGTAGAGTGTATGGTTATGTCAAATGTCGTTAAATACTTGTGATATTACAAAACTCAACAAACTGAGTAGAAGCATATTTTCCTCCACTGTCAATCCTTGAAGCTTTAATAGTAATGAGATTATATTATTTTTTACTAAAGCTTTAAATTGCTTAAAGCATCAAAGACTTCACTCTTGAGTCTAATGAAATAAACTGAGAATGTGTAGTCATGAATAAAGAGGATAAAATATTCTTTACCACTCAATGAATCTGTTTTCATTGGGCCGATATTTGTATAAATGACAAGAAATTTCTAATTAGTTCTCCATACTCGATTTACTTGAAATGAAAATTTTGTTTGCTTTCCCACTTGATAGGTTTCCTTAGAAAGAAATTCAAGCATATTTTTAACTAGATCATTTTTTTCTTTTTTTATATATGTGATGCTTCTTAGATTGAAGTGATCAAAGCTTTTGTGTCATAAATTTTTACATGTTTATGAGCTAATAGTATAAGCATGCTTAGTTATTTTCTCCTAATCGACTGAAAACATTTTATTGTTCATCTTCACATAAAATAATTCTACTCTAGAAGGGTCAGAAACAACACATTCACGATTCTTAAAATGCATAGAATAATTATTTTCAAGCATTTTTTCAACACTCAATAATTTTGACTCATATCTGGTGTGTACAAAACATTAGGAATAGTTTTTATACATGATATTATTGAGATAAGCATTGTACCCCTACCTTGGATTTCTATAGCCTCAATGTTTCCCACTTTTACTTTGGATTTGTAAGTATCATCAACGAATTTAAAATTTTCAACATCATTGCATAAGCAATGTGTTCAACCATTTTTAAGAATCAACAAATTCTAGGATTCTTTGATTTTTCAAAAGTATGAAATTGGAAAGAGTTGCTCCTCATATGCATCTACAACTCTTACTACTTGTGCTTTCAAAGCTCCATAGGCCTTTAATCTTGATTTGCGAATCTTGAATATGTGTCCCGTCTGTTTATAGTTGCCAGGTATTGCATTATGTCTCTACCAATAGTACTTCTCAATATGTGTAATTTTTTTTGCAATGTTTGCATAAAGGGAACCTCTACTTTCCATCTAACTATTGTTTCCTCCAAGATGCTTACCATTGTCATTTGGTTAAATAGTTGCTTTTCTTTATCAAATTTTTGCTTTCGTATCGATAAAGATCCTTCATTGAACTTTTCACATCTCATAGTCCTTTGCTCTTATTATTGAAGAGCACTCATTAGTTAACCTAATAAGAGTTTGCTTAGGTCGTTGGATTCTTCAATAGAGAAAATATTAGATTCGAGGCTCAAGGGAAAAGTCACAAGAACTTCCTTCATAATAATTTTCAAAAAAATTCTTCACCAAAAAGTCTAATGTCATTAACAATTAAGGAGATTCGATCATCATAACATACTTAATGATTGTTGCCATCTTCCTTCATATTTTAGGAACACAAACTCTCTTTTTTATGTTCAACAATTGCATTCGAAGTGCTCTATTTGTGCCTTGATATTCTTATTTTAACCTACCCCAAGCCTCTTTTATTATTTTACATGTCATGATTCTACAAAACACGAAATCTGCCAAAGAATTTTGCATAAGGAAATCGGACTTAGATTTTTTTGTCTTCTTTTCACTATTGGATTTGATCTGAGACAAGATAGGAATTGCTAGTAAAACAACAATAGTTTATCTTCTGTTGTAGTTTTCCCAAGTCCATAGGCTTTTAGAAAATCTTGAATCTTCACAAACCAAAATTGGTAATTTTCGCGGGTAAAAGTTAATGGTGGAGTTAAAGGTAGGTTGGTAAATGTCATTTTGTGTTATAGGCTAAAACTTTTTGGTCTAGGTAAATTAAGTAGAGACTCTGATACTGCTATTGAAACAAAAAAATCCAATAAACTGAATTGAAGTATTAGAACAGAGTGCGATTATGAAATACAGTCATTTATAAACTTGCAGAAGATCTGGATTTATACAAGGAAAAAACTAACCATTTCCTATGTATAGTAGCACTTACAAAGTGGATGGAAATCTGAATAAAAAACATGTGTCACTAACCGTCAAAAAAGTGTCTCTAATTTTATTAAGTTAAACAACTAAAGTTGACTTAGTCTAGTTAGTGTTGAGCTTTATTTGCCCTAAATTTCTTACCATAAATAGTTTTTCCTTTTAGGAAAAGGTTTTGGATTGACTAATCTTTTTTCTAGTAGGAAAAGGTTTAGGTCCCTATAAATAGAGACATGTTCCTTCTAACTTAATCAGCATTCACAATGTAGTCTTAAGGGCTTTGAGAGTTTTGGTTGGGGGGGGGGGGGATTTATGGGTCACAAGCTTGATACGTTATCACTTGTGTGAACCTCCCATATATTCCGAGTGAATTGGTCGAGGTTGTTTCCCTCTGTATTTTGTATTCTCATATTTATATTGGATTGCTCATATCCTTTGTGGATGTAGGTCGATTGATCAAACCACGTTAAATTTTTGTGTCTTTTGGTATATTTCTCGTTGTCTTTTTACTTGTAGTCTTTCGAGGTTTGCATTGCTAACTTCCGCATTACCCCTACTTACTTTCGGTCCTCACAAGTGGTATCAGAGCCAGATTCAATGACGGAGTCAGGTTCAGTGGTTCGATAATCAATTATTGAACCAGGTTAGAAAGAGGTGTTCATCTTGGCGGGTGTAGTTCTAGCCGCAACCTTTTTTGACAGTAATGAAGATTTTGTTAGAGAAATTGTTTCAGAGAGGTTCTTTGTGTTGACACATAAATTTTGAAAAGGAGATTATGGAGAGGAGTTCCAAGTTGTTGAAGATTAATTAAAGAAGGTGGAAAAAATTATTTTGTCAGAAACTCAGGTCAATGGGGAGATTTGTTGGGTTTTGTTTTCCCTAAATTTCTTACCATAAATAGGTTTTCCTTTTAGGAAAAGATTTTGGATTGAATAATCCTTTTTCTAGTAGGAAAATGTTTAGGGCTCTATAAATAGAGACATATTCCTTCTAACTTAATCAGCATTCACAATGTAGTCTTAAGGGCTTTGAGAGTTTTGGTTAGGGTGAGAATTTATGGGTCACAAGCTTGATACGTTATCACTTGTGTGAACCTCCCATATATTCCGAGTGAATTGGTTGAGGTTGTTTCCCTCTATATTTTGTACTCTCATATTTATAATGGATTGCTTATATCCTTTGTGGACGTAGGTTGATTGACCGAACCACGTTAAATCTTTGTGTCTTTTGGTATATTTCTCGTTGTCTTTTTATTCGTAGTCTTTCGAGGTTTGCATTGCTAGATTCTGCATTACTCCTGCTTATTTTCGGTCCTAACAGTTAGAACATGGTGAAGCACAAAACTAAAATTGAGTAAAAACAATAAGCTAGAAGTTAAGAAATGACACTTGTCTAACATAGACATCAATATATTCCTTGATTACGATTAGATCTCGGGTTGGCATAAAGGTTTAGATTCATAATTGGGTGCCTAATTTTTAATGAGGGTCAAGAGTCAGTATTATATCTATGTCAAAAGTCAAGGTTGAAATCAAGAGTCAAGTCCCAAATCATGTTTGGGGTGTGAAGTCAGGCATTAGAAGTCGTGGCCTCGACTCGGATATTGGATGAGGTCGAATCCTAGGTCATGGTTGGGAGTCGGGTTTAGGGGTAGAAGTCGGAATTCAGGATTAGGGGATGTGGTTTGTAGCCAAGATCTGGAATGGGGTGAAGATCCTGTGTGTCAGATTAAGGTCTTGAGTCGGGTTCCATGTCGGATTAGGAGTTGGGATCTCAGGTCATTGTCGATTTTCTATGATAACCTTACGTACCTTTTATCACTCCAATTGATACTCTAACATTGAAGAAGAATCCTTAAACTTTGTGCTTGAACCTTGAGACGAGTTTCTTTAATGATCTACGTTTTCATGGTAGAATCTTACTTAGGATGCATAATCATATGTTAGAACACTTAGAAATTATGAGAATATGATTATTTAGATTTTGGAAAGAACTCTTGATGGACCTTCTCAAAAATCAAGTCTTGAATCTAGAATTGAAACATTAATCTCAACAGAGAAAGGAGAAGGAATTGATGTTAGAACCTCATTAAGAATTCATGATTATATATCTAAAATATTTGGAAACACTTTATATACTTGGGAGGAACATATATTGGTATTGGAAGTGGAGGAGAGGATGGAATTTGAGAGAAAATAAGGCATAAGTCATCCAAGATATTACTTAAAACATTTCCCCTTATTTAGAAAGGACAGTTTATAAGGACGAACACTACATTAAAATGTGGTACAAAAGGAATTGTAAATTTTACATCAAATAGGAATTGAGTTGTAAAAGTAGGGTTAACATAGTAAAATTATTTATTTTTCTTTCAAAAGTGCATAGCGTGTACTGCTTTGTGTAGAAGCACTATTTTTCATGTAAAAATGGAATGTCTCACCTTTTGCTTTACTCTCCCTTCTCTCCCACTCTCTTCTTCTTTCTTCATTCAATAATCTAGAATGTTCTCCACATCTATTATCACGCTTGCTCATTTGCTCTTTATCAAATTCTGATATCGTCTTGAATCTGTGTTTCGCCCTCAAATTCCTCTTTGTACCTGTTGTATTACGGTGAGTTTTTTTCCATGATTTTTCTACTCTTATATATTCCTACACTTGAAAAACAGACCTATAATGGTAGATATTTTCATTCTTCTCTGGATTTTTAGATGTATGTATCATCAATTGTATCTAATTTACTCATGCATGTTCGAAAATAGAAATAAATACGTAGATGACTTTGGACCCTATAGTGCATCCAAAAATTTCACTTTTTCAATAGTCTTAGTTATGGTATTTCTACTTATTGAGGAAATAGTTGAACGTGCAGATGAAGTTTGGCTTAATTTTGGGGACAAAACAATCGAGTTGAGTCCAAGTTTGCCAGTGTTGTTTTTACTCTAGAGAGATTAGAGTGGAGGGCAGAGTTAAAGATGGAATCCCTCATTTTATGGATATGCAAATGTTCTCTTAATTGATTATTCTGCTCATCCATGATTTTTTTTCTCATTATTTTGTAGTATCAACTATCAAGTTCTTAAAATACTAAATATTTTGGCCAATATAATATTTTTGCAGATAATGGTTGTGGTCACGTGTTTGACGAAATTCCCCAATGAAGACAATACTTATGTGTTATGAAAATTTATCAGTTTCAACAGCTGGTTGTCTTGGCAGATGTTAATAAAGTTGAACTATCTACTAAGGGTGAGTAGATGTTTATCCTTTTGATATTTTTTTTCATTTAGTAGTTTCCTAATAAAATTGATAAATTTTACAACTCTTAGGTGATTCATTGAGCATGAATTTGAGTTGTCTAATTTTTTGGTGCTGCATGAAATTAGCAATTATATCGAAGGCTAAAAACTCACTGTTCATCTTTTTGTTGTTGTACTAACTTTTCGAGAAAAAATCAGCTACTAACATAGTAATTTGAGGGCTATATGTCTAGGAATAAGAGATGTCTTATTAAATATGACTAAATTTGTTAGCACATTAGAGAGTGAGCAAAATCCTGAAATAAATTTGAAAATTATTCATTTATTTATTACGTAAACTATTTAGTTAATTAGGAATAAGAGATGTCTTGTTAAATGTAACTAAATGTGTTAACACATATCACAGGATTTGAAACACAAACAGAATACAATGGACTACCAACTAGAAGCTTATGCGATATAGATGTAACATCCTCGAAATAAATTGAAGTTACATAATTTAGCAACTCCCTCAGCCAAAGCCCAAATGTGAGTCTCAACCTCTGTGTCCTAATGTTTTATCTAAAAAAGACTACGTGGGCATTTGGATTGACTTATTTGTTTGTGACTTTTGAATTTAAGTTATTTTTTAGTTTAGAAAGTGTTTGGATAAACATAGAACTGTTTAAAAGAATTTCTTGAAATCTGTAAAGGTACCCAAAAAATGGTGCCACAGGCCGACTTACTTTCAAAACCCTTGACTAATAGAATTGTGAAATCAGGATAGGCTGAAAAAAAGGCTAAGAGAGAAGCTTAGGACGTTAAAGCGGTGTAATTGTTCTTCTTTCAGGCTCAAAATAGGTGTTTATGCTTTAGTGATTATGATGATACTTACCACTAAATGAGTCGGTTTAATCTGGATAAGCTGAACGGAGTAACTTATTTCAACTGCAAATATTGGCCTGTCATCTTTGTTCTTTTCGTATTTCTCCTTTACTACATTATGGAACTATGTGGTAAGAAATTTATTACTTAGGATGACCATTCACTCCGAATAAGTATGGCAAGACTTTGTCCCACCACAATGTTACAATGCTTTTCTATTAATTCACCGAATTATATAATCATCAATAAATATAAAAGCTTGCTTCACCCATGAGTGATTATTTCATAGTGGCTTCATTAGATGACACATCTTTCTTGGTATATCCAAATGATATGTAAGAGCATACACCAATAATGCATATGTGAATGAGTGATTTCATAAACCAAATTGCAAATGAAGATTTACAAAATGGGTAAAGGGAAGAGAGACCAACTGTACAGTTAAAATAAATGCGTCAGTTAAAGTAGAAAAGGGGTTCGGTGGCCAGTTTTTGAAAGAGTGGGAATGAGGGAAAAAAAACGAGAGGAAATTCATAGTTTAGAAAAACAAACAACAAAGGTCCCGTGAGGAGTATTTTGCTGCCAAGGAAATTGGAAAAAAATATCAACTTTTCTGCTTTGAATCTCTCTATTGTACCCACAATATTCAATGGTGAATGCCTAATCAGAAAAATACAAAACTTAGGGAACATTAACTAGGAAAAGCACCACCCTTCAATTGTTTCTTTTTCCCTAATTCTGTGATACACACACTTCTAAAATTTTCATAGCATATTTTCAGATGGACTTGTGAATTTGTTTTAGAATAATATTTCATCTTCTCTTCTTATTTTAAGGTGTATCAAAAGAACACATTATGCCATTTTAATGTTAGTCAGCTTAGTTAGTATTGACATTATTATATTCCGTGTCAGATTAAAGGAATATTTCTGTTTAAATCTTCCTTCTTGTGCGAATTTTACGTTGTTGAAGTTCATAAAAAAGAGTATATTCAATAGGTGAGTGAAAGATAATTCAACAGGAAAGAACAGTTTCTTAATTTGTCGAACAAACTGAAGTACTTTAGCTGAAAGAGCGACAAGGTCTCCTTCATGAAAATCTTGTATACTAAAGAGGCAGCTAGCTTGAGGAATTATCGAAAGATCCAACAAGTTAACCCAATGTATCAACTTCAACAGCCTTAAGGTACCATTCCACATTCTTTTTGGAACCTTTAAACTCTCTTGAAAGAAGATCTATTTTCCCTGCTTTGTTTTATGCATTGATAATGAACTGTGATTGATTTTGGCGTTGTCTTTATTTTTAGTAGTTGTTTTTTGGATAAAAGCTGCAACTTTCACATTTTGAATTCTATTACTACAATGAGCTCTGCATGTCTGCCATGTGATCCTATACTTTCTCAAAGTTTTTGTTTCATGTGTTCATATTAGTTAAATAGAGCTCGATAGTGTTGAAATACTTTCTATCTAACTAATCTTCAAAAAATTGAAGATAAACAAATTTAGCAAATTAGCATTTTTCCCCTCTACTTTTTGGTCACAGTTATAACTGCCATAGGAGAACAACAAAGAGTGCCACTCCAACTTTAGCTCTTGAAAGCATGACTTTGATGGAGGATGACGGGGAATGAAATTTTAGGCCTGACTTTTAAGTACAAGTTTGTATTACGGTCTTTGAATCTTTTCTGTGTAACCTCTCAACTCGCACCCAAACTTCCTCCCAAAATTGTGAACACAAAACACAAAATAAAATGACTTAGGCTTTTGACATTTTACTAGGAGTAATCTCGACGAATTCATACAAATAGAGAATCAGTGTTGATCCTTATTTATGGTGCATGTTTGTGAATACAATAAAACTATAGCCTCCCTCTATTATTTGGATAGTATATTTTCAACTTGGTGATTTCACATTGCAACTGAAGATTATTTACATGTTGTTTCCATAAATAACTTTCGTCATTCATTTATTTTCTGCTGCAAAATAGATTATAGGGTTAAGGTAACCAATTCTCTGATGGGTTTTAGATGTTGTATCATTTACATGGTATGAAGCTGCAAAGAGAGTTTAAGAGGATATAGTAGACGTAAACCTTACCTCTACCTCAACTAGGTAGGAGACACGATCTAGGAAGTGTTGCTTCCAATTATCTCTACATATTTCTGAACATTCCAATTTATATTTTTTGCTTTCTTATTTAATATTTTGTGCTATATGTACTTATGACCCTTACATATGCAATGTTTATTTAGGTATGTTTACTATGCTTCATTTAATTTAAACATTGTACCTCTTTGCCGTTTTCTTCTTTTGTTGCAATGGTGTAAAGAATCTAGTCAAGAGATAAGAAGCAAAGCTATATTGAAAGGATAGGTTGTGCACATCAACTACATCTCTCCACCATGGAAGTGCACATGAATTAAATAACCTAAACTTAATATTTGTGCTTGTACAATTAAAAATATATTTATATGTCTAATAGTAGTGTTTCATTATAATTATTTTCTCAATATACATTCTCCAATTTTTTGGATATACCTAAACTTAATATTTGTGATTGTACAATATAAAATATATTTATATGTCTAATAGTAGTGTTTCATTTATAATTATTTTCTCAATATACATTCTCCAATTTTTTGGATATGGAAGAAAAATGGCATTAGAATGCACAATTCTTTAGAATATGTATTCAGAATAGTTCAATCCTTTGAGTTGCATGTTGAATTTTTAGTCCACTGACTTAGTGGATCAATAGCTAATCGTTGGAATTTATCTAACCCATAATTTTGATTTGGGTGATAGTTTAGTATTATAGTTTGGTAATCTTTAAAATTTGCAAGAATATAGATGATGTTAGCATAACAATGGACACATTTTCATATGTTCTTATCTATAAGTTTTAAATTGGTGGTAAGTGAGTGGCATCATATATCAATATCAAGATTTTGCCACATAGTTGGGACATGTATAAACAAAAAGCTAGCTGAAATAAGTGTTTCAAATGAAGCTCTGGATTGATTGTCAGAGATAAACACTTTCAAATAATATAAAGAAATAATTATATTATACAATGATCTACTGTAAATTCTTAATTACACTAATTCTTGATTATACTCATATTGGCATCCTACGTGTAGTAGGTATAGTGTTAAAAGTTAATTTCCTAGTTGTATTTCATATGAGTTGCAACAGAGAAGAAGGTGTGAGGAATGGAAGGAGAAGAAGAGAATGAATGGAACAGTGAATTGGAATTGACCGACTTGCCTTCTCATTATTTACAATGCTCTATTTATATACAATACATGATTTTGATAATCACACTAATTAACTTTCTAACAAACAAAATTGTTGAGCTAACTAATTCAACAAATAAGTTGACTAACTCTAACTAACTAATTTTAGTACATGTAATACACATTTTAACGCTCCCCCTCAAGTTGGGTAATGAAATATATCTAACATTCCCAACTTGAAGAACATATCATCATGTAATTTTTTTCCTAATGCGTTAGTAAAAATATATGTCATTTGTTCTTTGCTAGCTATGTATTCAGTGTTGATCATTCCTTTTTGCAGCCTTTCTCTAATGAAATGACAGTCTATTTCAATTTGCTTGGTTCGTGCATGGTACATAGGATTTGAGGCAATCTCCATTGCTGCTTTATTGTCACAATGTAGATCCATAAGTAGTCTAGCTTGTGCTCCCAATTCTTTTAGTAATCTCTGCAACCATACCAACTTTGCTACAGTAGTAGTCATACTTCTATATTCAGCTTCAGCTGAGAATCTTGAGATTGTTCTTTGCTTCTTTTCCATGAAACAAGTGATTCACCAATCTTTATTCCTAAACATATTACAGACTTCCTTGACAGTATGCATGATGACCAATCTGCATCACAAGAAACACTGATCTTCCTTGACTTTGTGCTACTCATTAACAGTCCCAATCCAGGTTGTTTCTTAATGTATTTTACTACATGTATTGCTGCATCATAGTGTGATTTCTTTATGGAATGCATGAACTGTCTCAAGTTCTGTTGAACAAAAGAGATGCCTGGTCTTGTGATATCTAAATACAACAACCTTCCAATAAATCTTTGATAAATCCTCCTACTTCCAACTCAATATCATCTATAAAATTAAATTGGTTGTCATATTCTACGCTTGTGAGCTTTTGATTCTGTTCGAATGGAGTGTTTGTTGGCCTTGAACCAGCTAAACCACATTCTGATACCAACTCCAAAGCATACTTTCTTTGATTAATTTGTATTCTATCTTTTTACCTTGCAAATTCAATCCCAAGAAAGTATCTCAATTCCCTTAGATCCTTCATCTTGAAGTGATGATGCAGTGTATCTTAGCTTCTTGAATTAGTTCTCTATTGCTTCCAGCTATTAAAAGATCATCCACATATATTAGAATGGTAACAATATCACCAGCATCGATTGTCTTAGTGATTAGTGAGTGGTCCAATTTACTTTGGATGAATATTGATGGTGTGAGAGCATTGCTAAGTTTCAAATTCCATTGTCTGCTAGCTTGTTTCAATCTATTCAATGATTTGTGCAGTCTACAAACTTTATTTTCCCCATGGATGCTAAATCCAGGAGGTAATGACATGTAAATCTCCTCAAATAAATCTCCCTAAAGAAATGCATTGTGAAAATCCATTTGAAACATATACCAATTAGACTGAGCAATCAGTGCCACAACACACCTCACAGTAACCATCTTTACCACATGAGAGAAAGTGTTATGGTAGTCAACACCTGCTTGCTGTGTGAACCCCTTAGAACCAAGCTTGGCTTTGTACCTCTCAACACAGCCATCAGCTTTGAGTTTGATCTTACATACCCACTTAAAATCAATAGGTGTCTTGCCGTTAGGTAAGTCAACAATTTCCCAAGTCATGTTGTCACTAAGGGCCTGGATTTCTTGGTCCATAGCAAGGATCCCACTATTATCCTTGGAAGCTTGCTCAAACGAAGAGGATTCAGTGAGAGAAAATAGAGTGGTGAGATAAGACCTATTAGCAAGTGATGGTAACCAGAAAAATTAACTGATATCTGTCTACTTCACTATTTTACCTTTGCTAATATCAGCTTTTGTAAACATGAAAATATTGTGCGATGACACAACATAGTAGTTGTTGCTTCAATATTTTACCTTTGTCAATACCAGCTTCTATAATAAAAACATCATGTGCATATGTTAGTGCCACAATAGTTCTATAAAACGGTTAGCCAATATGCTATTCTACCCATCGAATAGGTATTTAGGACTTCTTAATTCCTCCTAAGTTGTACAAGTACATATAATTAAGCACATTGGGCCCGTGTGCGCACGGGCAACTACCATATAGTAATATGTGTGTGTGTGCGTGTGTGCGTGCGTGTGTGCGTGCGTGTGTGTGTGACCCATACAAAGTGCTGCGAAACAATTGATATTTTTTAATCATTAGAAATTGGGAACTACAAAATGCTTCAATTGATTGCTCAAGTATGTTTAAGAGTAAAAAAGTTTTCTTTATATTATTGATTGCGTATGAGTAGGCCACGTATTTTATTTCAAGTTTAAGTTTATTCCTTTTCAATTTTGGTGAAATACACATCTTGCTGGTGTTTGGTTTGGGAACTTCCTTTTTGGTTTTATTGTTTATTACTACTTAAGCATAATAATGCTACACAAGTTATAGGTCAGAATCATTATGTCCTAATGGCTTGGAATAAAAACATCTGTGGTGAAAAAGTAAGCGATGATGAGTAATCCACCAGCTCAGGAAAAGTTGGAACAAAACAAAGAAGATGTTAGTTTCACATGGTTCTTCGACATCTTCAAGAAACTATACATTAATATATATACCAGTTATTGATCTTCCAAAAACATGCTAAAATTTATTATTCCCTCCGTTTAAAAAAATGACCTCCTTTCTTTTTAATTTGTTTAAAAAAGGGACCTCTTTCTTATTTTGATAACATTATAATTTTAGTTTTACACGTGGGATGTTTAAGACCACAAGATTAAATGACAACTTTGTACATTTGATAGAACATTAATTTAGGACCATAATATTCAAAAGTCTTCTTTATTTTTGTAGACTATATATCAAGTCAAACTGGACTAGTCTTTGTGAAACTGAGGGAGTACGTATTTACAAGAAATAATAACAGTCAAGAAAGGTATTGTAACACCCCGTAGCCAAAATAGACCAAAAATTAGTTTTTCAAAAAAATTTGCAGGTGGTATCGATGGTCCGTAGGAAAGATGACGGTCCGTCCTGCACAACCTTCGATGGGATCAAAAACTCAAACGGGAAAAAATTGGCTTAGTCTTGATCGACGGACGGACTGACGGTCCGTAGGTCAGACGACGGTCCGTAGTCTGTGACTGCCAATCGAGACCCCCATTCACCCACTCTCTTACAAGATCTACGGTTGACCAGTACGGTCCGTAGGTGGACCTACGGAGGTCTGACCGTAGGTGGAAAATTTGCAGACAATTAAAGGGAAATGTAGTTGGGTCAACTTCAAATGGTCATAAATCTTAGAACAAAATGTCTTAGGTGTCCCATGACCTACCCACAGATAAATAATTGAATTATCTTTCCAAAACCACCAACTTTTCTAAAATTAGACTTTCGAGTAAAAAGTACGTATATTTTAGTAAAGTCCTGTTGAACAGGCCCAGTCGACGGACCCAACGATGGGGCGTCGATCAGACGACGGACCGTCAGTCCTGACCCTCGTTTGGTCCGACAACAACTTTCCTAGGGGTCTTTTGGACCTTTCCCACTTGGTTTAAACCTAATTTACGTTGTTTTGACCTTAAATCATCATAGTTTAGTCAATTTAAGCCTAGAAATATAACTAAAATATATCTAAGTCGAATCACTATATCAAAACTTAAAGCTCAAGAACCCTAGTTCAAGAACGCCACAAGTTCCAGCAGTTCCAGTCCTGAAACCTAAGTACTTTTTCGTGGATTTCATCACAAGGTATGTGGGATTTCACTAGTGGGTTCCTTTCACCCATTGGGTCCCTAGTTTTCAATCAGATTATTGATTCTCTTGTCATGATTAAACCTAGGGTTTCTAGAACTTCAAGGAACTTCATGAATTTATTAGTTTGATGTTCCAAATCAGGTTATCATGTTATTATTTAGTTTATTGCATGAATTTCAGAACCCTAGCTTTGTATTTCTTTAGTTCTTGAATTACACATGCTAGGTTACATATTTCAGACACTTCAGATATACATGCCTCAGTTATAAATGCATAATTACCAGATTAATAGTTGCCTT